TCGATAGAGTTGGTGTCTTACACCCACGCCTCCAACAGTTCTCGCCCCGTCTCGTTGCCGCCTCGCGCTAATATCCCGTGTTGGCGAAGTCGAACTCATGACCTTCCTCCAGCGTGTGCGTGGCGACTTGAGATAGTGGGTCACCTCCTCGAAAGGCCCGTTCTTGCCCAAGTGTTCGTGAACTGAGACGTCGTCCTGTTTGGCCTGTGTAGTGGCAAGGACAGTTATGGCACGGGATTTGATAGACTACGCCCGACTGCTCACCTGCGTTCAGCTGATCCTTCATTTTCATGAACCTGCTACGTATGGTAGCCGCTGGATGATAAGCGATGCCCACGCCTAACGCTGACGCAATGCGTTCTGTGGCCTCAGACACATTTTTGTGTACGGTAGTGAGTGCCAAATTGTTGGCGTCTCTTCCCCGTTTGTCCGTCGTGGGTACGTGCGTATCTTGCGGCTGACGAAACTATTTGGGTAGTCATCCTTTGTTAACTGATCCCTGAGATGCCGTAGTTCTTGCATCCTTCTCTCGGGCTCGCTACAGTACGTTTATACCCGGCCGAAATCGCCCTCACGCAGCCCCGTTTGTGCACCAATGGGTGTTTGCTATGATAGTTGAGGACCTGGGTTGTATTGGTCGCCTTTCTGTACACTGTAATGTTTAATTTACCATCAGGTGTGCGCGTGACGAGCACGTCAAGAGAGGGTAGTTTATCGGCCTCCTCGTCTTCTCTTGTAAACTGAATGGCGGGGAAGGTGCTGTTAAGAAAAGCTTGAAAACCCGATAGCCTGTCCTGTTCAATAATGACGAATGTACCGTCCAAGCATTGGCGCCCAAACGCAGGTTTGCAGTGGTTTAGAGCGACCTTTTCCAACTCTTGTAGGACCGATTACGCAACTAGGCTGGATATTGGGGAACCCAGGGGTGTTCCTTTGATTTGTTCGTATGTTTTGCCATCGAAGGTAAAGAAGGTTCGTTGGCAGAATGCAAAGAGCTGCATTAGGTGCTGGATCTTTAGAGGCCCTGTCGTTTCGTCGTACTTTTTTTCTAGGCGTTTGTGTAGGACGTCGCGTGGCAACTCTGGTGTGATGGACGTGAAAACTGGGACAACGTCGAAGGATACCATGATTTGGTGGGGTCGAATAGTTTTTCCCCGAATGTCGGCAAGGGATTGGGCGGCCGGAATGAGTGACGTTACAGAGCCCTCTTTGAGAAAATTGAGTTTTCGGAAAATCCATTTGGCTAAATTGTATGTGGGGCTGTCTTTCAGGGCAACGATTGGCCGCAGAAGAACGTTGGGTTTGTGGATTTTTGGTAGTCCGTAGAACCTGGCCAATGCCGTGTCGGTTGGTTTTGTCTGACGCCATTCGTCAAGCGAGATTACATTTTTGCGCCGGAGTCGACTTAATAGTCCAGTCAGTTGGCCAGTCATCGATTTAGCCTGCGAGGCGCTTGCGGACATGTAGGACTGTTGGTCGTCCAGAAGAGCTTGTGCCTTCTCGTTGTAATCAACGCTGTTAATCACAACGGTTGCTCTTCTTTTGCCGGCCAGTAGCACTATAATGTCTTTGTCCATTTTTAATCTCTTCATTGCTTCTATTTCTGCGGGCGACATATTGCTGGCGTGCGTATTCGTCATCAGGAGAGACGGGAACTTTCGGCGCAACGTGTGTTTCGCCTCTTCGGTTGCGTTAGTTCTTACTAACATGACCTCAAGTGCGGAAATGAAGTCGGCTGTGGTGGCATCAGCAGTGTTAAAATTGCCTTCGTGGCTCATAAAGAATGTGTCTGAGGCCACAGAACGCATTGCGTCAGCGTTAGGCGTGGGCATCGCTTATCATCCGGCGGCTACCATACGTAGCAGGTTCATGAAAATGAAGGATCGGCTGAACGCAGGTGAGCAGTCGGGCGTAGTCTATCAAATCCCGTGCCATAACTGTCCTTGCCACTACACAGACCAAACAGGACGACGTCTCAGTTCACGAACACTTGGGCAAGAACGGGCCATTCGAGGAGGCGACCCACTATCTCAAGTCGCCACGCACACGCTGGAGGAAGGTCATGAGTTCGACTTCGCCAACACGGGATATTAGCGCGAGGCGGCAACGAGACGGGGCGAGAACTGTTGGAGGCGTGGGTGTAAGACACCAACTCTATCGATCGACACATTTACTTGCCTGCGTGTTATCACGCGCTTCGCCCACGCAGCCAGGTGGCACAGCTCACATCGCCGCGAAGTGCAAACGACGTCACCACGCCGGGGGACCATTGTGGGCCAGGCAGCACAAATCAGACCTGCCTACGGACGTGGCCCCCCCCCACACCCCTCCCCCATCACAGCACAACGATACAAATTTTCACACGTTGCTGCACTCCAGCAGTCTCTGATGCCGATCTCCAGTTCGAGTTCGAAAGCAAAGGCCAATAAATCTACCGTCCCAGTGATCGTGCCTTCGTCTTTTTTCAGAGATACATTTGCCAGTAAATACTTTCAGAGTTGTGAAAATTCCCATAGCAGTAATCAGAAGACGAGTTGACGAGCATACGTAGCTTTCGATAAATTCTCGTCGAGCCAGAACAATTATATGGGAACGGGGTAGAAGTAAAAACACATCAGTGATAAGATAAATCGACTAAAGTTGGAATGTGGGAGAGGGGGGAAGGGGTTATAGCAGTCACTGTCATTGCCACGTTCGGGCTCCGCGCCTACAGTGGTCGAAGGTCGACTGACACTGCAACTCTCCCCGCGCCCTTCCGCTCTCGACTCGCCCCTGCCAAATTTAATCTATATATCTTATCACTGATGTGTTTTCACTTCTAACCCGTTCCCATAGTGGTCCGAGGCGAATTTATCGAAAGCTACGTATGCTCGCCACCTCGTCTTCTGAGTACTTTCAGTCGAAGGCCACCATGGTCGTTTGCCGCAGCAAACGAAGATGCCCATCAACGGCGTACACAACATGAACCTAGCGACATTTTTTGTGAGACGGGCCTTCTCCTCCACATCTATTCAACTATACCGATTCATATCCACCCTGCCCCAACGGCAAGACAGGATCAAGACGACTGGTGATGAGCGTGAACGCAGTGGTTGGCATGGTTGAACGGACAGTATGCACGTCCCACATACGACCTCCTCGCCAGGTCACATGCATCAGATTTCACTCATGGGAGTTATCGGATCTCACCTAGGTGAGAATTGCTATAGGGTCAACATTATGAAGGAACCATTGCAATATAAACTCCAGTCCTGAGTAATTCCGTCTATTGGCAGTTTTCTCAGCCACTCCACGTGACGCGTAGTGATAACTGCGTGCGCATCGGACTAATTTGTATCGAGGTGTGCGCAAATTTGGCCTGAGTGCAAATCCCTCTCCAGCACAATCCCCGCTCTCCCATCATGTCCCCATCTACGCGCATCTCATATGTTTGTTTTTTGCTGTCCTAGGCTCGTCACCAGTAGGTCTGACACGAACTCCAACAGACGCGTTGATACGCTCCCTC